AAGGAGGGAATCGGAATGTCGGAGTTTTACCGAACCTGATAGGGGCCATCTCACTACCCCTCCACCGACTTCTTCACTATTGCCTATGATAATTTCCCTCCTTCAGGCGAGACAGCAATCAAGATGATGGGTTGGTTGAATTATTATGAAAGAAAGGTATTTGTCGAAGCTTTGTCCACTCTAATCAGAGCGATAAGGAGCCCGGCCCGCCAATCAGGAACCTGGCATTTTGCAACATGGGCCGAAAGCTTTGCGAGCCACAAACCTAGTCGATCAGATCTGCCCAAACCTTGGCTCACATGGGTGGAGCAAACTTGGGAATGGGAAGCCAGCCAGCCAGCGTTAGACAAGCGCCTCTAAATGGGGCTCCGTTGTCGGAGGGACAACGAAGCCCCGCAGTAAGGTTGCCAGAGAACCAAGGGGTGGAGCTGCAACTTGCTTGGAACCATCATATGCAAATATGAACACTCATACTTCTGGTAGACAGGCAACAAGAGCTCTAACTAATAAAACCCAGGGTTATTTAAACAGCCTTGGAATGGGAACAAGCCAGAGTTTGACTTTTCCCTAGCTTAGGGTTAGTTAACACCGAGCGAGGAACAAGGCATATTCAACAACATTCAACATACCGAGCGCTTGGCGGGAGGTAATTGTGCAGAAGCGAGCCACAAGGTTTGTCTGCATGCCACAGTAACGCGCCGGGACAGGGGTTTACGGTCCCCGGAAGGGAGTGGGAAGTTTCCACCCCAGCTGGGCACCTTGACGGAAGAATCACGCATTTACCCGAAGGTAAAACTCTGGTCTGGCCAGAGAGTAGGAGAGAAAAATAGGACAAGAAAAGAAAAATCATCTGTCGAATGATAAGCCGGAACCAAACTGTCGCTGGTAATGGGTGGAATGGACATTATCATCATTACGTTAGTTACCTATGTGTCACAAGAGCATGTGAATCCAGTCTTAGGGGAGCAGCAGCGGATTGATGGTGTTTGGGAGTAAAACTTTGCATCTCTTGAGTTGCAGAAATAATTTGACGAACATAAATCTGATAATAAAAGTATCTGAATAAATGAAACTCGAGGTTCCAAGTACAGAAAACAGTCGACAAGTACCTTGATGCAAACTGTTTTCGCCAACGAAACATTTAGCAAAACCTTCAACGAGCGAACCAGCTTTTTTCAATTACGCAAGCCCACACATACGGCGGGGGTAGGTTTTGCTTGAAGAGCTCGGAATCACTTTGCTGCTACAATGAAGAAAAGAACGGGAGCTATGATCACATTTATGCACGTCCCCAAACAACTTGCCACGTTTCCCCTTCCTTGGCAATCCGATTGATCCTGATGCCAAAAGGAGGAAAGGAGAAAAGAAATGAAAACCTATTACCCCAGGTATTTGCCCACTATTGCGTCTGCCATAAACGTGCAGCTTTGCAACAGGCCGTGTCCGGTGACTCGCATTTTGCATGTTCATGCAGGTCCGTGTCTCCATGCACCCCATGCTTGGGCGAACCTCCCTTGGTAGAATGGGGTGGCCTCCCCGCTTTATTATTTTTCCAGGTTAAAGAGCTTATTTTATATAGTTATATATTTAAATGTTGCGCTATTACAAGAAGGAAATTAATACTGTTTTTTGACACTGTCCCTTCTAGCATCTCCCGGTGGAGGAATGCCATTTTATGCCAATTGAGGGATATCCGGGAATGAAATGGCCAACCGTGAGCGGAAGGACTGCTATATTTCCCGGCAGACACGGGATGCGACTATTCGCAAAAGGCACCAAGCTGACTTCTTTGAATGTTCGAACCTCGGTTAAAGGCGTCGTTCAACAGTTCCGATGAAAGTTTGACCCCTATCGTTAAAGGTTAGCCTTGTGGTATCCATCCATGCCATGGAATGACCAAACAACAGCGCATGTAATCATGTCAGATCTGCGAATATAAAACGGAACATGATGGAACCCGAAATATCTCTGGGGGGGTTAATTAAGAAAGAATCTCCACCGCCAAGAGTTGGCTCTGGAGGAGCAAATTTAAACATTGGCTGGCTCCCGTTGATCCGATGTCGGCGTGGAATGGCGACTAAAGCGCTGCACGAATCTAACGATGCGTGCAACACAGTCAGCACATGAACTGAACTGCATCATGGTTTGGCTTTGTTAACCAATTTGCAGGTTCATCAAAAATAAAATGAGCATTTTTAATAACTACTTGGCATGCAGCTACCCTGCCTGCACTGAGAAGATCCATCTTCAAAAATAACTATCCATATGTGGAATGGAAACATCACCAGAAGATTTCTTCTTCCTTACGTGACGCCAGATCTGGCGTGCTTCCCGGGATCTCTTCACGGCAACACCGAGCTCTCCAGAACCTTCTTGGCCCGTCTAGTCGCACTTGGGCCTGCATCCCTTTACCAATAATGATCCAGGGGTTCCTCTCATGGGTCTCGTCCTAGCATGTGATGAGACCCCAGCACACTCTTTATCACACCGGCAGCGTCAATATAAGATCTGTCCTTCAGGACCCTAACTTCCCCTCAATCTCCTCAGTCTTCTCTCTGGAGCAAAGTTTTATTTATTCCGTACGACAGTGGACTTACACACCACATCTATCTGTGTCTGTACACCATCGGGCGTAGACCTCCACCTCTTATTTACAACCTTGGCATTTCCCTCCTTCCACCTCCTCCCTCTTCCCGGGCAACCAAGATCGGAATCTCAGCACCACTGTCAAGCGGGGAATCCAAAGCCAAGGAAAGCAGCACGGGGGAAACCTCCTCATTTGGAGAAAGGAATTACCAATCGTTCTCCGCCATGCCTTGTGCCAACATATCTGCACACAGCCCGGCAACCAAGAGGCGGGGAGAGCACCACGTCCTACGGCAATGCTACGATGGTCAGGTTTATTAAAATTAAAATTGTCTGCAACGATGGGATATCTTCTTGGCAATAGGTTCTTTTCGCAGATTCCAGAGGGGCTAATAAATAAATGAGATCCCTAGTGATAGGGGTTTGATTGATATATAGTCATCACTTCAACCTGTCCAAGCTCTGGAATGCTTCCCCCTCCCTCCTCTCACCTCCTCTCGCCGTATGCTTTTTGGGGATACTGTATCTCCAAAAAAATAATATATATTATATAACATAAAATAAAATAAAAATAATATAATATAATATATATGTATTTGTCACGCTTGTATCAGCGGGCTTATATTTTTAGACCCACTCCTCAACAGTAGTAATATTCATTATTCAGCGACAGCCAAAAATAAATAATAATCTAATTATAAATTAGCAAAACCACCTAGGGCCTTGGGGCCACTCTTATCTTGGGCCAATACAAAGCAATGCTGTCAAATTTTTTTTTTAAACTAGGCTTCTTATATCTCTTCAAATTGTCCAGTGCAACAACCAGCGAAACCACACCCCGTTTCCCTACCAGTTGACAAATAGCAATTGAAACTAGCTGCTACATTTTTCTACATGTCCAACCTCTGCCGTTCTCATAATTTTTTTTTTTTCGCACCTGTAAAAGGGCCAAGATCCATGTTACGCCTGGTAGAACCATTAACTATTATTAAACTAGTCTCCAGTATTACGCAGATTTGTTTACACCCCCCTAACCAACCGGCTGCCTGTAGTTACTTGTCATCCCGACCATTTCCCATTCCTTCCAGCATCCCGCGCCCGGCCAGTCACAAAAGGAACAACCACAAATCGGCTGGTCGGGAGTTCTCGGAGCTCAAGAAATATTATTACCACCAGCTGCCTGTTTATTAATCCGTTACGTAGCAAACTCCGCGATACATTCTCCGCAGAGATATATACAAACAACGAACTGCTTTCGGAAGGAAAAACGATAAGAGTCCCGGCCCGGTAAAACTGCCTGGCACGGAGTACATGCATCCAAACTACACGTACATTGTGTCGTGTATGGTAGTTAATATGTTGGAACTGGGCCCGAGAACAGCCGGCAATGACAAACATTGACAGTCAGGGATCCCTTGATACCTAAACGGAGATTATATATATTCTTTGCGTAGTACAATAATATATATGTCACCACCATAACCTGAGGATGGCAAGCTTCATTGATTGCTAACTAGTTATGATGAAAGGGTCCGACATAACCGCCTTTTCGCTCGCAATCAGAAGCTGATGCCACTTCAGATGCTTTGTGCAGGTGATAATGGAGTGCTTGCTTGCTGTTCTAGCTAGTCAGCTATTTCGAAAGGGCATATTTGCCTTGTACCCCTCGCTGATATTTATTGCAAATTTACAAAGCCTGTCCTTTCATCTCCTGGGGGCTTAAAATAACCCAAGTGACTACTACATCCAGACTCCGTGTTCCTGCAGCAGCAATGTTTCAACGTCGCTTCAACGTCGCTTATAAATAATGTACTGCAGGGTTGAAGGAAGTCTCCGCGACTGGTTTGTTAGAGAAAGAATAAGAAAGAAATGGCGGGACAGTCAGCCAGCTGTCTCAGTCGGGGACTTCATTACCACCCGAGCGCAGCCTCTCATGTCCGAAATGTGTTTTGTCATTTTCACAATAGCATCTTCCAGCTATTCATTTGTTGAGTCAATCTGTCGGCTTATCCATCCATTTTGACAGGGTTTATCCAGCTGTGCACTCTCTTTAAAGACTGTCTACTGCGTCCTTCTTGCTTTCTCTTCCATATATCATATAGCTTGCTTCAGAGCCTATTGGCCTTAGAGACTCCCACTGGAATGCGGCACTTCATATATATATGATATTTTGAAACATTTAAAATTTCCATCGGACTCCCAAGAGCAGCGCTGATAAAAAAGATCTCTTTCGATACACCTTCTTCGGTTGTGTTCCTTTTCCGGGCGTTCCTAGTTGCCAGTCTCTTCTTCGATCAAATCAGCTCACAGCGACGCGGTTAGACCCCACATCTTCAGCCCTAAAGGTTCTACGTTTTCTTATTTTCCTTATACAATCTCAACATCTCAGAAATTCAACATATTTCGTCATAATCATGGCTTCGAAGAAAGTTGCAATCATTGGTGGTGGTGAGTGACAAAATTACAATTCGAACATGATTTCCCAATTTCCTACCGTGAAAAAATAGATCTAGAAGCTGCCTAACCTGCTCGTAGGTCCCTGTGGTTTAACTACTTTAAAAGAATGTCTGGCTCAAGGTCTCGATGCTGTTCTGTTCGAAGCCCGAGATGGAATCGGAGGGCAATGGCGTTACGAAGAACCTGATCCCGAGACAGGCCATGCCGTATCTTCTGTGTATGAAGGCGTGATCCTGAACTCGTTCCGCGATGGTACTACCTTTAGCGATTTTCCCATTGATCCTGCGCACTATCCAGACTATTTCTGTCATCGCAAGATGCTAAAGTACATAGAGCACTATGCGGACCACTTCGGGCTTAGAGAATTTATTCGGCTGCAGACGAAGGTGGTCTCCTGCAATCAACTTGCCGATGGAAGGTGGACAGTCTTACATCACAAAACTGGGGAGGACGAAGTTACATCGGTGTATGATGCCATATTTGCATGTACGGGTCACAATTCCCGCCCCTGGATTCCTGAGTTTGAAGGCTTGAATTCTTTCAAAGGAGAGGTCCTTCACAGCCATATATACCGGAGAGCAGCTAGATTTGAGGGGAAGAAAGTTGCCCTTATTGGATTTGCTAGTTCAGCTGTGGATCTGGCGTGTGAGCTGGTGCCGGTGGCGAAGGAGGTGCACATGGTTGCTAGGAGAGGCGGATGGGTTTTTCCACGATTTCTGCTTGGCAAGCCAACCGAATCATACGAGAGTAAGTATTGTGTTTTACCCGATGATATTCCTCCGTATGGTTCCCATTTAATCTCTGGGGTGCAACTCTAGGTCGAGTCTCTGGATCGATCGTGCCCGCTCGGTTTGCAGAATGGTGCGAAAAGAAACTACTTGTATTTGCTGTTGGTGAGGTGCCTGAGGAAATTAAACCTGATCACAATTTGAGCCAGGCCAACATAACAGTCCACAGCAATCTGCTCGAATTTATCAAGGTTGGCAAAATCAAAGCACATCGTGCGAGTGTGAAGAGTTTCACTGAGCACTCTATAATTCTCACGAACAATACAGAATTAGATGTTGATGCTGTAATTATTTGCACAGGCTATCATATGGAAGCCCCTTATCTTGCCAGGGAGACTTACCATGTGGAGAACAATCCAATTCTGAAGTCACACAACACCATTGATCTTTATAAACTTGTCGTTTCTCCCCAGTTTACTAACCTGTTTTTCATTGGATATATTGAATTCCGGGGTCCTCTCCTTCCCGTCGCTGAAATCCAGGCGAGGTGGGCGTCATCAATCGTAACCGGGAGAGTGAAGCTGCCTCCCGTCGATAAGATGAATCAATGGGTGAAAGAGTTCCAGGAGGAGTTGGTCAGGACTGTATGTTGGAACTCCCCTATTTGCAGTGACGAACACTCCCTTCTCACATTAGGTAGATGGTGGTCTCCGATCGCCACACAGTAACCGTCCGCTTCCTACCCTACTGTGACTCATTACTCGCCGACCTCGATGCAAACCCCACCTTTGCTCGTCTTGCCCGGGGGCTTTTCACCTGGCACCCATTACGTGCCTTCTTGGTACTCAAAGCGGTGTATTTTGGCAAACGGACGCCCGCACAGTTTAGATTGTTTGGGTATGGGCGGAAGCCTGAGATAGCTACTGCTACGCTGCTAAGGTTAGCGGGGGATAACAAGGAGATAGATGCGATTGAGAAGGAACTCGTTATTCTGGACGGTAATAAAGCTGCTAGTTCCAAGGCCAACTGAGAATGATGGGACGAAGGGAAGGGGGGAATACTATGGAGGATGACCACAAAGTGGGGATTTTTCCGATCTCTTTTTGATTAGGTCGGCCTTATTACTGCAGTTCGATTGTTTGCTTACTTGTAAAAAGACAGCGAATAACGGACAGGTTCTGGGCTGGGTTGAATACCTGAATAGTGGGCTTCTTTAAGGATGCAAATATCTCTCTCCTAATTAGTGATATATAGGCAGGCGGCATGTAAATTATATCCTTAATGTTCCCATCAAACAAATTGTCTACGCTATGCCTATTTTTGCTAAATTCGCTTTTCCCGTACAATGGAAATCGGTTCCTTGTAAGCATATAGGCTGCTAAGAATACTTATAGGGAGCAGGTGACAGATTGTTCCACTCTTTTAGTGCAAACAAAGTTGCCATGAGAATTTTTAAATTACCCTTTAACAAGAGCTCACTATTGTAAACCCGCTCCCAGCATTTTACCATTCTCACAACTAAGAGGTACAAAAATGGAAAATATCAAATACGCAACCTCTGTCCCAAGTACACAAGGATGAAAATGGGAAGCTATTAAGCACCAGCAGAAGCACCGCAAAAAAACCTCCTGGGCAATCCGTAACAAGGCTCTCGCCAACATGATGCAGTACTTTCGATCTAGAAGTTTGGGGAAGGAAAACCATAGAGACGCAGGAGAATAACCGTCTATACCAGGTCTGAAAAAGTTAAAACATCAGATATGCGCTACGATTTGCGCTACATGTAACTTCGATGTCCTGTTACCCAAAAATATGATAATGAACTTTGATCACTTATTTGTGGAGGTAGACATGCTCCTGATAACAATGGCCCCAAGAGGGATTTATGCAGGAGCTTGCACAAAACACATCCTAGATATGATGAATAGCAACCCGCTTGACTGATGGGCTCTGGGTTTAAGAAAATGTAATGCGCTGTGCATATAGTCCATATCAGACAGAAATGAAGGCATTATTTGATTTAGGCCAGTAAAACAATGACCATAGACTTAAACTGCGTACTTGTCAGAAGCACAGTTTAAGTTCCACCACCAAACTCAAATCCCGCGATTAACAAACGACGTTGATTTTTCTGCTATATTACTACATAGGTTTTAAACAGGATTCCGACAATAAGGATTTATAGAATTATGCAGCTCATTGGATATGCAATTTACTGAATGTTAATGAGCGAAAACGGATTCCTCGCTGACGGAGTGAGTGGTATCTCGGAATGATGTAAAAATAGATTTTGTCGTTAAACGCGCGGGTAGCGCTAATCCCGCACGTTAATTAAGCGAAACCACAAACCTTCCTCCCCCTCTGCTTCTTTACATCAATCCACCTTGGAATCAACATCCAAACCATATAGAATCGAGCTCTTTGAATCAGATACAAATTTGCCATACTGCTAAACTCCAAATAATAAAGTTTGGGATGCTGTAGCAATATCTTTGGCATAACTACATACTTTGAATTCTGATCTTCGGTTTCTAACTTCATCCAAACCAAACATCTAAGAGCATACTGCTGTTGACGTAAATTTACATCTTCTGACAAATATGACGCAAAATATTTCTTATTTCAAGAGGACTTTCCTCCCCCTCTGTAAATGTCTATTCTTTTCTCTTCCAATTCCTCGAACGTCTAGTATCCAGTTAACGGTTTTAAGTCTGCCTGATTTACTTTGAAAATCGACTCTTGTTGATCAATATACAAAGCAGCTCAAGCAAATATACTGCTCTATTCACTACGTTGAGTTTTTTGAAGCCGCAATTGCCTTGAGCGCGTTTAAAATCAGCCAAAAGGCTCTCCATCAAGCGCATTGCTGTGGAACCTCACTGACGCAGCCAGCCACAAGTCCTCCATCGCGGCTCCACGTAACTCCAGGATCACAAGCCAACAGTACCTTGAGATTATTTCTGAAGTTTACTGCCATCTGTGAAGACACCATGATTCCACTTGTCGAAAATGTAAAGGCAATCGGCAGGGGCTTTCGCTTTCTCTACAGGGGCACCCGATCCTGCATCCGACGCCAGCAAAACAAAAGACAAATGCGAAAGAATGATAGCGCCATGTCTTCTGATTTCTTTCAAATTGATCTTTTCGATTGCCACTATCCCAGAGATTTCAAGATTTATGGGGTCGGATTTACCCATAGCGACCTTTGTCTTCTTCTCAATGAGGCATCTTCTTCATCGGAGGAAAGCCTTTATAGTGAGGAAAGTGAACTCGATATTCATCCAGTTGCGGGTTTTCAATTGCCATTTTCGACGGCAAAGGCGATTATTGAGGCATATCGATTCGGTCCAGAGAATGGTCCACCAGTCAGTGTCCTCAATTACAAGGATAGCGTCAAACATATACCGTGGAACACGCTCGCCTACTTCCGTTCCAACGCACAGATCGTAGACGGCGATTTACTCCTGAAGCTCGACATTGCGAAACAAGCAATCGATCCGTCCACCATCGCCCGATTCCAAATTGTGTCGTTTCTCAATGAAGACCTGGGGGTCTATCTGAACTTTGGCAAATTCAGGTTCAATAACGACGGTTCAGATTCAACACTCTTCATCCAATATCCGCAAAGCGGGGTTGAAGTGCGCGCAGCCTTGACGACAGACCCCGAGACCAACGCTCGTGATATGCGAATTACCCTATGGTGCAATTTCGGAGCATGCGACTTCCCAGACCGTGACATGTTAGAGAGCGTTACTACGTCTTATAACGCCATTGCCTTTTGTGGTGATTTCCACACCATTAGCCCGGAGGAGTCGACGTATATGAACTATTTCGACGATACGTCGCCTTCGAAGTTTACGGACTACAAGCCGCTTGAAATGGCTTTGCCTTCTAAAGATAGATAATACGAGGATGATAGATGGTATGTGTTTGGATAGCGATGTTCACACTTTGAGTTGGCAGAGCTTTTTTATCATGTCACTGACAGATATTTAGCTCCATCCGATGCCTAACTAAGCATGTCGTACCTCACCACATATTTGCGTCTGATGACACTGCAGCCGTCTTAAGAGACCATCTTGGCTTTCCTCAAATTGCAACACGATACAGCCAAAGATATGCGAACCACCAGGCCGTCCTTTGTCATTTGCCAATTTACTATTTAATTTTGCGTGGATTTTGTTGGGATTTTATTTTTCTTTGTCACCAAATTGCCAAACTATTATTTGTGTTTTGTTTAACCTGACACACTTGGATCTGAATAGTATTCGAGGCCTCCTGGGATCCATGTCATCTAATTATTACCCCCTATTTTTTCTCATTTCAGTTTGTCAAAAATGTCAGGTCTTGTTATTTTCAATATGTATATTTATTATCTCTACTAATGTCTAATAAATTAATGTTTGAACCCTAATGTGAACTATCATATTTACTCTTATTTCTCTGTTTCAAAATTTTAACAGGATATGCTTATTCACGCTGTTGATTATCGGAGTATTTCTCAAGTTACTTCAATTTGAAGATTGAAATCACAAATTGTCAAATACACTTCTTTGATTAAGCAGTTGAGAAATGCAGGCATGTCAAAATGAAAAGAACCTCAATAGCAAGAAAAATGACATCATTATTATATTCTAGTCAATGATAATGATGCTAGGAGAATGATTCACGGACTGCTTGATTTCTTTCTGTGAAGATAAGAAATAGAATAGTATTGTAGGACCTGACAAAGAGGTACAACACCACAAAATTTTGGAGGTAACTCCCTCAAAATGAATCCAAATCCTATGTTTTCGTCTTTGCTCATATGGTCAAGCTTGATGTTTACAATGTCCTCATAGTTACCAGTATACCAGGCATGAAGTTTACTATCCCTAGAATGAATATCCTTCCCCCAGCCATTACGGGCGCACTGCCAGATAAGCATGTAGAAAAATGACTCAAGATTATGCTGATAGATATAGTTGATATTAAGCAGCACCTCAATTGCCATGAACTCCATCATGCCAGTCTGGTGCTGTGTGTCACTTCACCCACTCTCAACTTCTTTGGCAAAATCCAGATCAATTAGCATGCCTGAGTGGCCATCCACCTTGTCTGGATCAGTGATTATTATGTTGTTCTCTGAAATATCCTGATGAAGGATGTTCTCATCCTGGTAAAGAGACCAGTGTGCCTTTATTGCATCATGAAGAGCTGTGAAAAGCTCCAAGGGTGATCTGTAGTCATATATTGACCAGCCAGCAGGTGAGATCACAAGACACTGGAGGACACAGTTGTCATAGAGTTTCTCATCATTCCTGTCAAAGAGGCTAAGCCTGTGTGCTCACTGAATGGAAAAAGCTAGTTCATTCTCTTCCTGAGTGTGGCTTGATGATTGATTGATGGAATGTGATTGTTTGAATGTCTGCAGCCCCTTGTCTGAGGATCTGCACTTCCTGAAAGATGATTTTCAACAGATATCTAAGTGACAGAGCTTGGTGAGTGGCTGAGAGTGATGAAATGAGAAGACTGTGCTGGAGGGTGTGATTTTGAAGTCATGATGCTTGCCATTGAAAGTCAGACTGCAGCGCATGTCAGTGATACTAGTGATGGCACCATGGCCAATGATCCTGGTGACCCCCTAGACATTCTTCTGACCTGCCAGCTCAAGGAGTTCCGCCTCTGGCTGCTGCTTGTCCAACACTCATGAGAATTTGGCAATGCCCTTCACTTGTCCATCATTTGTGAGAAAACATGTGGTTCCATGACACATGATGGCACACTGACAGGAAAGCATTTCACTCAGCTGTATCTTCTTTTCCTCTGAGTTCCCAGGCTCTTTAATAGTTATTTATTTGCTGCTGTCTTCATCTCTACTAATAAAGATGTCCAGTTCCAGCTCCTCATCACTCATCATGGTGTAGCCCACAGGCACCTGAAAGAACTGTCTCAAGTCTGTGTAGACATTGATGATGCCTGAGCTATAGGGGCCTGAGTGGTCAAACACCCACACTCCCATCTTGGTCCTGCAGACAGTGAATGTGTGGGTGAACCACTGAGTGGGCTATGCGGCAAAGACATCACACACAGCAGCTGATCTGCAGCAGTGTGGTTGTGATCCCAATGTTCTTCTTTGATTTTTTTTTGCGCTTGCTGACCACCAGGATGTCTCTCCAGTCATGTTGGTTTCATGAGGGGCTCCCATCCCTAGCTCACAAAAGAAGGTTGACTTGCCATTCTGCCTTTGCACCAGTAAGATCTGCTTTACTCATTGTGGTGTAGTAGATGCTGTGTGATTCTGAGAGAAGGTCTTCTTGAAGATGAAACCACCAGGCAAGGACATCATCCTGTGTAGGAGGGTTGGGAAAGTGAGCCCAATTACCATCACTATCTGGGGCCAGTATGTGTTGACAGATGGCATCTGTGTTGCTGCTCCAGTCCTTCTCCTCAAAGTATTTGTCAAAGAAGCCCTCAACATCTTGAAATGTGCAGTCATGTATCTCCTCAAAGATTCTCAGATCCACCAACTCACGCGTCTGCTCAGAGCCTTTCTGTGATGATGAGGTGAATTTGACTGGTGTGCTGTTAAAGGAAGGGGAGATGCTCACCAGAGGGGTTGATTGAGGGATGTTGTCAATGAGGTTAAATACAGCTTTCCAGATGTCGATGTTCCATTTATTGACGTACTAGATTTCATTGTCTGGGGTGACCAAGCATACAAGCGACCGGTAGTCGTCGTACTTGAAGTTTCCTTGTGCCTTTTGGAGACGCCTGACGAAGTATGCTGCTAGATCAGACACCATAGTCCCATTACTCATTCGCGAGCGAAGGCTGTAAGCTGCATCCTCTCCCTGTAGAGCAGAGAGGAATTTTGATTTCACATTCCGATAGAGTTGGTCAAGGCTCTCATCAACGCCATCATAAATTAGACACGACTCATAGACTTTTTCGGCTTCCTGAAGCGCGCCTCGTAGGAGATCGACCAATTTGGCTAGAGGATGGTTCTTGATAATGTTGCGATCTTGTTGTGAAAGTCCCGCCATTTTGACGGTAAAATAGACCCTTATGTTGGTCCACTAGGAATTGAAAAGTGAGGGAAAAGTTGAAGGGTGGTATGCTAACTTTATGAATCAAGTAACCAAACTTCAACAACAGGTGCAGATGGGAAGCAAACACTAGACCAATATACAGAAAGTGTTGGCAAGTTATGATGTATGGTATCTGAGAGAGAAGATAGCTCGCTGGAAACGGATGCTGGTGTATGTATATATACATAATCAAAGGGAGAATCATGATCAAAGGGTCGATCCAGCTTGGTTTTGATGTGGTAACTGCGTGGATGAGAGAATGGATAGAGCCGCTGAGGAAGGAACCGGGTGGTCCTGGAATCTAGACCACTGATGATCAGGGCGCTCTGCGACCGCCTGCCTGACGAACCCGGTCTCTATCTAGATGAGATGATGGCAACCTTCCTCTGGGATGAGTTCCACACCCTGGCCACAACCTCCAGCATCAGAAGAGCCGTTGTCGTCAAAAGTAAAAAGACTGCTCGGCAGTAAACTAGGGAGCGAAGCGCCGACTTACAAAGAAAGCTATTTGCACAATTTATCGGACTTTCAGTCATATCACCTAGTCGTACGTCGATGAATCTGGATGCGATAAAAGGGCTGGGTTCAGACGGACAGGCTGGTCACCCCTTGGCATGGCCCCCATGCAAGTATCTGTGAGGATTTCAAAGCCCAGCTTCTTCAGCACTGCGGAAAATGGCCAGAGCCTAAATCTGTTGTGATTATGGACCATGCCTCGTTTCATCGTTCAGAGAGGATTGGGCAGGTGTGTGCGGACGCGGGGGTGAAATTGGTTTATCTGCTGCCCCACTCGCCGGACTTAGAATCCGATTGAGGAATGTTTTGCTGAGTTAAAAAGCTTCATTAAGCGTAACTGGAATTATGATGAAGCGGATCCTGATCAAGGATTTGATGCCTTGCTCACATGGTGTATTGATGTGGTCGGTGCGAAAGAAGAGAGTGCTAGAGGCAATTTTCGGCATGCAGGCTTGAAGATCAAAGAGGTTTCAGAAAGTTGCTAGGTACATTGTTGGTTGACAATGAGTTTGCCACGCACGCTCTCGATGTAATGACTGTTTGTCGTTGGGCTAACCACTCATTAAACCAAGGGTCATCTAGAACTTGTCTCGCTGACGCTCTTACAGACAGCTCAAACTGCAATAACTTTCCAATGATTTGCCCCAGCCTCACTATGTCCTCTCTTGTGAGATTGGAACTCTCCATGCCTTCAAAGTACACTTCTTCCAGCCATGCCTGCAAGTTGGGCCCGGTGTTTTCTGTGGTTCTGCTTTCCCCTGCATTTGTTGTATCCTTGCCATCTATCACATTTGGCCAACAAGAATTGTGGGCGTTATCAAGAAGGTGTCGAGAGGTGGATGGCCCGTGAAAAGTTCAAAGAGCCATCATACCTGTCAGTTTACTGTTGTATATAGCGTTTAGCCTTGGGTGATTTCACCCACCATGCATCCCATGCTCCACAAGTCAACATGATAATCAATGCGATCTTGAAATATAACTTCAGGTGCCCGAACAGGTAGAGGTGTGTGTAGTGTTTTGAGGAACTGCTGTGGGTTAAAAAATGATTCCACAAAGTCAATTATTTTGATCAACTGGGCTGGATTCCAAGAATGTGTCCGGTATGAGGTAGGCCTAACAATATATTCAGGTATGCCAGGCTCCAGGCCTTTCCCATCGCTCCTCTGGACATAGCCAATTTCTGGTTTTCCTAGCATCTCAGTAAAGCCTTCTTCAGTTACATTGTCCATGCAATGCATAGTGAAGACCAAATTGCAGGTATGCAGATCAATACTTGATGAGAATTGTTCAAAATATCCCCAAGAGAGTGACCTACCTCCATGTCCAATATTCTGTTGGTGCAAGCTATCAAGCCTGATAAGACTTTGCTCCGCAATGACTTTGGCAAGCTTCCCAGGGAGTCTCCCATAAGGAAGGTGTGCATCAATTGTGTCTGGAATATTAGTCCCCAGAAGCTCATAAACTAGGCATTCATTTATGAAATCGATTTGGGCCATTTAGATCAAAGTCATCAAGAGTGTGCACTGTATGTTTCAGACAAAAGTGATGAGATGTCAACTCCTTCATGATTTGGAGCTCTTGCATCTCCTCATCATGGTCCCTTTCTACAACCGAAATTTTGACACCAATATAAATCTCTTCTCTGCAAATAGGCAACTTCTCAGTTAGCTAGAACTACAAGAGTCACAAAATTTTGTACAACCTTTGATCTCTCACGGCTCAAACTGTCGAGTAACCTCCCCATCCTAGTTTATGTAGCACTTTACACCTTCCAGCTTTCTGGTATGCTCCCAAGGAGACTGAGTGGTAACTGACCGCCTTGTCAGTAGTGATGAAGTGGCTCCGCGTCAACGGGGGAAATTTAAAGGGGCTGGTCTATCTGCCTCTTGTCCAGATGAGTAGACATGGACTTAGTGGGAATGCAAACCCGTGAGATGCTCCTCAAGGGGACAGCACGTCTCGATAGTATCCAAGCAATTGCCATTGGATTATGTAAACCGAAGTTGTCTGTGCCTATTCTGTCAAGTATTAACACGAGTCCAGATTGTTGTGATCGGATGTCCGATGTTGCCCAGGAATAAATGACGTTAAACTACTCGCAAACGATAGTTAACTAACTAGCTTAGAAATGATCTGCATAAGCGCCTGCAACATAGAGGCGGCAAAAGCAGGTTTATACAACGACAGGAAAAGCATATATATCAGTGCTGCCCTCCGAAGATGTATCTAAGGTCTAGAAAAAATATTCTATACAACCTACGGTATCTATACGAAACTTGGAGCTTTACAATATCTCCTATTCCCCGGGCAGGCCATCAAGTATGCGGCTTTCATTCCTCGAGAATGACTTAACCCCTTCCACCCTTGGCCTCGGAACCACCCGGAGTATTGTTTGATGACAATCTGCACCCCCCCTTTAGTGACCCATCTCTGGTCGCTGTGTACTTCAAAAACATCGCTGCTGCTTTCCACAATTCTCCTGGGCTGCAGGCCCAACCGAGCGTATGGGTTTCTTCTTGGACGGCGTCTCAGTCTAGTATCATTTTGTGTTGGTTAACGCACTTCGGTAACTATAAGTTTGGGGTTAACCCGTTGGGTTTTGATTGTCGACACCAGAAGCGCAATACATGAAAATAGTGTTCTAGCGTCCGCGAGGATAACTGCATTATCGAAGTTGTCCAATATATGGGTTTGACGTCTCACTAGATCGGTATATTCTTCAAGCCTCTTTCGGATGTAGCCCATCTCTTCCTGACCGAGAGGTTTGTACATCTGCTGAAAGGGAATCGTTGGCGAGCTCTCTGCAAGAGCTATATGAATTGGTCGAGTCCAACCCGGTACAGCTTTGGAGGGTTGAAGGTTGAGCGGGTTTCTAGAGAGAGAAATATGGATAGCTTTTCCAGCGAGAGCTTCCTCACTATATACATAACTGTGAGCCGCCGATTCCCAAAGCTGTGTCACCGGCACCGGAGATGTCGGTCTCGTGCTAGTAGAGTCCAGGGAGAGGTCTTTCTGAGACTTAGCAGTGCACTCCTGCTGCTGGTCTCCAGAGTGCTGGACCTTCGCGGTCATTTTTGTTCCCGGGTCGATACTATCATTCCTTTCTGCGTCTAGACGTTAGTTGCGACCGGTTATAAGTAGAAGAATGGGAGTTTTCGGTGCACCTGTGGCAGAACTTGTACCGCTGTCATCTCTGCTGTCCACTGAGCCAATCTCTGCTTCTTCGATCTTAGGAGTTTGGGTTATCCGGGTACTCATGATGGAAGTGTGGCATCGGATGATTTACAGAGCTGCGATGACTTTTGTGAGGAGAAAGGGAAGATGGAGCGATAGAAGCAAGGCTGGGAGGAGGACTGGCTTTATATGCCTTTCAGCCCCCTGGTCTACGTTAATGGTTCTCCTTCGAGACAGACAGGGAGTGCCCTTGAAAGACCACATCGTCTACGGGATTCATTAGCTGATGAGCTAGGAACAGTTTCATCATTGATCTGATGAGGGCGTATTGAACAAGCTCGGAGAAACAGTGCCTACGAACTGAGGGAGATTCCTATGCCATCTACAGTACGCCCTCCACGCTTCCCGTTGATGTATGGCTAGCGATGTTCACAAAATTTGACTAATTTCCATCAATTATTGAACTACGACAAAAAATATCAAACAAGGCGAATCTTGCGCCGAATAGAACAGGACTCATTGAGGTTCAGCGTAAAAACTAGCAGCGTTGCCATCAGATACAATTTCTGACAGAAAAACGTGAAGAAGGAAAGAAAGAAAGAACAAAACGCGCTCATTAGTTCTCACAGGTGGACTGCCTGACAGATGACCTCCACAAACAAAAGAGCCGGGGAAGATGTGTAGAATCCGTCCCAGTCCGCCTGCCTAGAAGGTAAACTCCGAAATAGCATCTCGTCAAACAAAACGCCAGAGGGCCTGCCAGATTGAACCTCCACATCAAACATCCGGTTGCAAAAACATAAAACTGAGACGCAAGAACGCGTTGGGCCGGCCAGGCTTCCGCAGTAGATCACGCGCTGTGCGCCTGGGTGTTCTCTGCAAGGCCCTTGAAAGAGCCCTGTGGGGTTGATTATTGCGCGTGCCCTGGAGTAATTTTTCACCTTTCCCCTTTCGTTGCTGGCTTTAGCAACCCAATTCTCCACATCAGCCACTGCGTCGGGAGGCGACTGCTTGCGATCAAGCAGGAATGATAGCAGGATCAGCTGGGCTGAATACCTGGTCCAGAACCTTGGCAGAAAACTCATTTGCAAGTCACTCAATTGTTTCGTCATTGAACTCCTTTCCTGAAGTGCGCTGATTCTCATCTGACTGCTTGAAAACTGTGCAGAAAAGATGAGAACTCATTTTCTGATCAGCAAGCTGAATCAAAATCTGTCTATCCGCGCAGCCAGGGTGGATGAGTGCGTCATTCAAACACTTGATGTGATTTGTCGTCATAATCAGCAGTCAATCTTCCTGTGAAGACATGCCATCCAGAGCATTAAGAAGCGCGGACAGAGATACATTTCCCTGAGATTTGCTCTTCTGTGAAGGACCTACCGCGCCCTGGACGGTGTTTTTCATCATTCCACTATCTTCTGTTCATGCTGCACTAGCAGCATCGATATCTTCTAAGAGATTGACATAATGCAGGGTAAGCTGGGCATACAAACTGCTTAGACAGCTGTCATCAATGCTCAAAAGATTGAGCACATAGATATTGAGCTCAAAACGCCCGGCGACAGATAAGCTGAAACTGGACTTTCCAGTTCCAGGAGGCCCATACAGCAGGAACCCTCTTCAAATGGGAATTCCGCCCCTTGCAATAATGAGTATAAGCTTCTTCTTTCTCTTACATGATTACAATCTGCAGATTCTTGACATTTCCGAGGAGATATAATATCATAAGAACTCTCAGAGCTCAATACAGATAAGTGACAATTATTCATAAGCTTCAAGAACTTCATGAGTGAGTGAAAGCTATGATGATCAATGATCAACAGAAGTAGAAAAAACAGATCAACAAGTAGTTTTCAACAGTTTAGTGAACAATTTAATATCAGAGACAAAGTCTGACTAAAGTCTTGAGAAAATATAGACTGATCAGTCTTCTGCTTTACTAGACATCTGTTATGTAAAATATATAATTCTTGGAGTTTTAGATAGTTATAACTACTGTCTAGACACATCTTCTGATAATTCATAGTGTTTTTCATATGAATTTTATTCAATGAGCTGCCACTAATTCACTATTCTCACAAAAACAAAATGATTAACAACTGTGATGCCAAGACTTCTTATACAAGCTCATTGCCGTTGCACTGCTTACTTGAGGCACTTATAAAGAATCAAATTACTTCACAACTGATATTTCTCATTCCATGAAGAATTAGATTATCTAAGATAAAACCTGTTGTTAACTTACCTATTCATATATATAAACCCTTTGAATTCTCTGAATTTCTTTTGAAAGATATAGAGATTAGCTACTATTTAATTCTATATCTATGTTTTCACTTATTACTATTCTCTTTTCTTCTCAATACTCTCAGCTCCTATTCTTCTACTCTTTTATAATATTAGTTATAGTGCTTTTCATACTTTTTTTTAATGCTTAGTTCATTTACATTAAAATGTTTTCATAATAATTGTTAGAGCTACTTATTTAAAAATAATAAGATTTGAATATGAATAAAACAATTAATAATAAATGAAGAAATTACTGTTGTTAGAAACTGCTTTGTGAATAAACTAACCACATTTAACTAAT